AAATGGCGTGCAGAATCCCTCTTTTGCTTCTTGCTTAATGGTGTTTCTCTGATCAGTGATATTCTTGTGTATGCTGTATTTGCTGGCTGGAGCAACAATATCCTCTGCGCGGAGTTGGCGATCTTGGCGATGGCAGCCCCGCCACTACAAGCAAGAGCCAAGGCTGCTGTGGAGCTTCTTCCCCGAGATCATCGCACTGCCCTGTGGACCTCATCGGCCTTGTGGGCTATTTTTTGCTATCTCACTGGCTTGGTCGTTGCCCGGACCTCAGGAGCTTGCAAGGAACACATCAAACTGAAGTACTCCGTACTGCCTCCTTCGTATTAATTTGGCGCTATCCAAGTCAGCAGTCCGGCAGTCCACGTGAGTCGCGTGCCGACCGAACCGACCTCCGAGTGTAAGCAGCGGGCGAGGCACTGCTTCTTGGCAAGGCTTCGAGAAGCGTTCGACTGCTTTTCCTCTTCGGGCATCTACCACGTCACCTGGATGGAAACAAAACAACATTGCAGAGAATGGATGGGCCAAAGCAGATATCGTCTAAAAATAACGACATCCCTTCTACTCCAGAGTCATTCGTTCTACGAATCCATCGAGTGGACGGTGTAACTAACAACACTTTGGCTCGAGGAAAATTGTGACCCTCTGCTAAGCCTCCCTGTAGTGCTTGCACTACGCCGGGCGCTAGCCAATCCGAGTCCTGCATTCTCTGTTACTTCAAGGTACCTTACCTACTAAGGTGCAGTAGACACGGCACGCTCATCGTAAGAATAGAAGAATGATCTCGATTCTCGCGATACTCCAGCAATTGCCTATGTAATTAATTAGGGGTCAACGGGTATGCTCCAGAGTCGGGCAACAGGCGAGTCACGGACCCAGTGATAGTAACATTCCATTCAGGTACGTGTACAGATCACTGATCCTGAGCTTGCGCTGCTTGATGTTGATCTTCTATTTTTATTTTTAACATCATCCTTTACATCATATGCTACTCTTCTTGGCACGGACATACGGAGTACGGTGTTATTTTTGGTGACCTGAATTGAGGCCTGGGAGAAAAAAAATACCTAGCTAGGCTGCTAGATAGGTACGCTTGAACATATCGCAATTTGCCGTATACAAAGAAGTGCAATTGCCCGGAACTAGTTAATACTTATTGAAGACCAAGCGGAGGACCTATGTATGTGTCTAATAAGCAGAAGAGTAAGTGTCCAAGACACACGCACGGTATGTACTGTACCTATATGTGGCTATCTGGAAAAATTCATTGCGCCTATAAAAAGGTTCTCCATCAGTTTTCTGATATCCTCCTCCTCCTCCTTCTTCTCATCTACATCAACATCAATATCAACAGTACTGGCTTCATTTCTTTTCTATCTAGCAAGCTTTTATCAGCCCGAAGACCACTGTCACAGGTGATCGGTTCGTGGTGGTATCCCAGGCTCAGCAGGATACGATGTAAACAAACATAAACAATTGATGGATAGCAGGATGAATCTGATGTCAAGCTGACTGCTCGGTTGATGATGATCCCAGGAAAGATTTAAATGTGTGTGTATCTAAATACATGATGAGAGATGAGGTAGTTTTATCTACTTCGCAGACGGGCTCTCTCCGCCTAAATTCCTCACCATATTACAGTAGTGCAGTAGTTAGTATTTCCCATAATTTAGGCAGTCCTTGTCATCATCTAATACTCTCGAGGCGACTTCCTTACAGGAAAAACATACGAATATACACTGCCGCTAATACCTGTTGCATGTCTCCTGAAATGGGAACCCTTCTGCCTCTCTGTCCTTGTTCTGAAGTTCCTCTTCTCTTGAAGCTTAGCTATAAGCAGGTTCTATCCACATCCCTTTTATCTTTGCATATTAGCGGATTTTACTAGAAATAACTTAAACTCGAAGAAAAAGGGGGAAAACCGTAGGAAATCTATAGAGCTGGGTATAGAAATATAATCAATCATCTATAAAGCCATAATTCGTAAGCATATAAAGAGAAAGAAAAGGGAGAGGTAAGCGTAGAGTAAATAAAGGATCAAAAAGGCACATATACATAGGATGCATACCCCTATATATGTAGATAATGTCTGACGAACAGGCTTGGCCAACTATTCAAAGTGAACCAGGCACCGCCACATGTAATCCTATCAATGGGCAAATATCCAAATATCAAATGAGAACAGCAGAACTCTATATTATTGCTTTCTTGAACCGGTTTAGTGTTACGTCACATTTGCATGTGATTGCTACCAAATGACCATTTTTCACGCGATCATAAATAAACTCCTGCACATGCCTGAGCACGTGCTCGAGTGTATTAGGTAGAGTGCTGTGGATGGATATCTTCTCCGTATGGAATTATCTGTACCTGGGTAGGTACCGTTCGGTGCCGTCATTCTGATCCAAAACGTAAAATCCCGGCAAAAACTTGGAAGCGTCATTTGGGTAGTTTATCCTCCTGCCAGTCGCCCCTCTAAAGTTATTCCAGTTTGCAGAATCACGGCGTTTCGAGGGTTTGCGTACAGGATGAAATATTGATATTTCGTAGATAGGGATAGGGATGAGTAGGTAGGGTGGCCATGTCCAGCAATAAGATCTTCCATTCGACCTTCCAATCTCTCACACCAGAGACAAAAAGCAATGGAGATTTAACAAGGAAACCCAGAACCTGCTATATAAAATTTTAACCCTGAAAGACAAAAAAAAAATCTCTGCTAAGAGTAGAGCCGTAGAAAAAGAAATCAAATCAAAATACACAGAAAAATAAGTATCTCCCAGCCAGGCCCAAACCGCAACAAAAAAAAAAAGATAAGCTCACGTGAATACACAGCAAATAGGGGGGAAAGACTGAAGCTTTTTAAAGATGGAGAGGCGTGAAAAAAGCAAAAAGGCCAGTCGATATCATCCGGCCACACTGCTTCCTGAGCAGGATTTAGTGGTTCGCCTTCTCATTTGCAGCATTCTTCTGCTCCTTTCTGGCAGCGAGAACGGAGCTCAGCCAAGCCAGGGACTCCTGAGAGATGACCAGGCCGGTCGTGATGACGGCCTTACCGCTCGCGACAAGACCGTCACCTCCACATTTCTTGTACTCGGAGTCGTAGGTGTCCAAGACGTGTTTCCGGACGTCGCCAACGAGTTGCAAGGGGAAATACGCGGTACCGAGGATAGTTCCCTTGATCTTCTCGGTGTCTTCCTTGATGATAGGGAACGTTTCATCTACCTTTGTTAACCCTTGGTCGCCAAGAGCATCTGCCTTGGCCAGATAGGGAGCAACGTAGTCGTACGGCTTGGAGAGATATGGCAAGAATGGTTTCGCGAAGCGCTCGTAACCTTGGTCGGCGTAGTCGAGAGACTTGGCGCCATACTTGCTGTTCTTGAACGTTGCGATGGAGTCCGACACAACGGGATATGAAGTCAAATGCTGTACGTAACACGAGTCAGAAAGTGCTCTAATAGCTTGAGAGACGTAGGACAGAAGAGCCTTACCGAGAGGAATTGGGAATGGACCTTCTCGCCGTTGACGACGGGCTCACCAATTGTGTCTCGCTCTGCGTGGGGCATTTGAGGTTTTATCCTATGATGAGTTAGCACCATTGTAACGACTTAAACGTTTGACTAATCAACAGAAGCAAGAACATGGATCAAAAGACAAACCTTTTGCCTATGTGGTTCTGAAAAAGAAGTTTGTAGAAGTCAGGTGGGTGGAATGTGACAGATACAGTAGGCAATAGGGAAAGAGAAATGGTGAGGGTGTGATGGAAAATTAAGAGGAAAGCTCTGGAGGGTGTGTCGCGCAATGATAACGTTTCAAAGGCAGCTTTTAAAGAGCCCCTCCACAGCCTCCAATGGCAGGGGCGGATGGCAAGGTCCGCATCAAGATCAGGGAGTAGAATGTCGCCTCTTGCATGTGAAAGGGCCTTGACTAGCGCCAGACCAAAGTCTGATCAGACTGACACTGCACAATACGACAACACATCCATCGTTAAAGCTACTAATGCCACATCCCTGCCAACCGGCCAGGCAGGCATGGACTCGACTAATCAGACAACACAGCAGTGGCATCAACGATTGCACCACCCATACTGACTCACCTACATGGTGACAGGCAACAGGCCTGGATGGTGGCAAGCTCCCATTCATCATCGATCGCGCTGCGTCTGCATATTTGCATGTGATTGTGGGTCTTGCCTTGGGCGCCTCTTGGCGGCCAGAACCGGAAATCCTCCATCGCTATCGACTGTTCCATGCACGAGTCTAGATGGTCAGGTTAATCCTGTTTTGCCTTCACTTCAAATTCAATTTTAGATTGATGATGCACGCAGCCATAGTGTTTTTGCAAGAACGGCCCGTGACATTCCGGGCTGGCACCTTGTCATACATCCGGTATACCTCCTCCGAGTTCTCCTATTGATTCCATCGATGCGACTAATTCTCGATAAAAACGGCCTTGCATAACCTTCGTCTGCTGGACTCAACTGATCTACTTGAATCTGGTTTTACCGTGGCTGATGTCTCTTTGTCTGCTGAAAACGGAAGCGGCCAATTTCATGGCTGTCTAGCGAACAGATTCTGGTCATCAAAATCCATTCCTATTTGCAGATATTAACTTCTGGCCTGTCGGGTTCTCCGCTATCGGGCGCCATAGGGCACCATAGGACCAATTCAACCAGTCGCCGATGCAACCGATTGTCGGGTGACTGGCTTAGCAGCTGGAGTAGAAGTCACCGAGTACGAGAATTCTATCACCCATTACACTCCATACGGGAGTGCCTGTCACATCGGAATATGGAAGAGAAGTCAATTTTGGCCTCGTTTCTTGTTTTGTCCCTTCCCTGGGCCTGTATGCTGTTGCTGGCCCCCAATTGATGAGACCTACAGTCCCCAATGCGATTGAATTTCCAACTGTCAATCCTTCCAATTTTATCTTTGTGACATGTGAAATTCCCAGACGAGTTGCCCAAGTGGGGATAGCTTGATCATGGGTGACAATCGATGGTGATCAACAGTGGCACTACGGAGTACTAAGGACCGTTAGCACGGACTTTACGGAGTACTACTCCGTATCTTAGCACGGAACTCGGGATCGAGTCGGTACACCGTCCAAGCCCTCCGATCAGATGCCGATTCCCGTCGGCTTGCCAGCAGGAAAGTCGCCGTCAACTGATTGTTGAAGAGGGTATAGAATCCGAGGCAAAGACGTGTACTGCGGTTACTACCTTAGACTCCTTCCTGTGGTATTTACTTGGCTAGGATTGTGATGCGAACATCGCTGATCAACATCGTTTCATGTGATAATGACAACGAGAGAAAGAGGCGATTAATTAATAATATTCTCACAGTATTTTCAACAATCATCACATTCCAGATTCTTAGTACATCGAAATAATATTATCAGCCAGTCTTTTTCAGGTATCTGACAACTGAAACCTGCTTCGAATGATAGTCTACAAGGGTACGTACCTCATACACACCTAGTGTAATTATCAACCCAGCATGCTATCTAACTACCTAGTGTATGTACGCACCCAAGGTAGGTAGCTGGCTACCTGATTACCCTAGTTCTATCACCTCGCCGTTGTCATACATGAGACATACAAACATACTGCGCGGTACATACATACGCTGGTATGCCTGCAGGATAAGCTCCAAGTTATCAAGCAAGCGCATGTATGTTTTGCATATGGGTTGGCCGTGTTGCAGCTTCCCACCAGTGAGCAGAGTTTCATGCTGCATTTTCACCTACCTACCTAGGTAGTACCTATGCATCGGTTATTTAGGTATTCCCCTCTCCCCCCCTGGCCTTTTCCTCCCTTCTCCCCGCATTTCAGTTTCCTAGGTTGGTAGGTAGAGAGATAGATACTGCACATACCTAATTTCTCTATCTGTTCTGTCGTGGCGCGGGGTCATACCACGAGTATCATCACCTGATCCTGGGAGGGAGGAAGACAAATAAATAAATAAAATTTCCATGTTTACACTCATCTTCTCTGATTACTCTACTCGAGTTGGAAAATTTACAATTGCTGCGACGCCCGGTAGTCACCGCCCCATTTCTTCATCACTTAATGTGAGGGGCATAATATAGTCTCAAATTCAATTCAATTCAATCCAGGTAGTTGTCTGCATAGGTATGCCTGTTCGATACATGTATGCACATACAGTACATACTTAGCTACCTATGCGCTCCTTATCAGTATGTAAAATTATTCCATTCCTACCAATCAACATAACAAGGGGGGCTTGTAGCTATAATTTTGAGTCGATGCAAGTTGAGCAGAACGGTTAGATGATGAGGAGGAGCAACAAGGCAGGCAGGGGCTTCCGGACGGGATGAGACGGAAGTGAAGATGCACAAGTTGCTAGGGTCTGGCCAGTACCGCCAGGGTATGGAGAGGGGTGGATGTGTGGATGACACGGGGTACAGAGTACAGAGTATGTACAGTACATACATAGGCCGGCATCGACAACAGTGTGTCTGTAGCTACATGATCTAGATCATTAACCATTACAAACTACAAGTACCTAATAAATACTTGGATAATGCATATCACCACCTATCATATCACTCGGGTATTTATCATGTCTACATACAAGGCAGGATACAGGCTGGCACCCTGGCTTCGACAGGGGTGGTGGAGGGAGGGGAACGAAATACCCTTGAAAGCCAGAACTTGGACGAAAGTAAGCAAGGGTTGCTGGCACGATATACCTACCCGGGGGTCGTGTGGGATTGATTGGACTAAGAGAGCAGAAAAGAGAATCCCCTCACGTTGAGAGAGCTTATCTACCTGAGAGATTTTTATCTCAATAATGCTGTCTTTCTTTCCAGTACAATGATATATAGGAGTCTAGAGGGATCTAGTCACGCCACTGCTGCGGTCACAATTGGAGTCTCTGGTCTGACGTATCCGAACCCTCTCTGCAAGAATTCCTGTACAAGCAGGTAAGAAAAGCCGAGCAGTACTGACTGGCGCAGCACTTCTAGAATGGAAAAGAGAAAATCAATGGCGAAGTGTTAAATTGATGGTATTTTCATTTCATTCGAGACAGACGCCAGGATATAATGGCTTCCCTCATAAAAAAAGGAAATTTATGTCTTTTTTCAGCATGAGCCCAAGAACATGGACTTTATATTCTGACACATCCCATTCCTCGTCCAGTCATGGAGACCCAATTCGCTAGATTGGTTGGCCCATATCTGGGGGATGAAGACTCTTAAACCTCGACTCTTCATCTGACCGACCCCGTGCGCTCATAACACCTCAGAGACCCAAAACGTCGAAACCATTTAGAATCCTGTAATAGATGTTAGGAAATATTCCTGGCACGTAGTGATGAAATTTCACTTACGCAAAGGAGTGAAGAACCACCGGTTCTTTCCGCTGGTGTACCGCTCCTCCAGAGCCTTCTTGATGGTCTTCTTGGCCTCCTCACGCTGCGAAACTTCCTTGAAGGTGTCGTTGGTCAAAACGCCCTTCAGTCCCTCGAGCTCGAGCGTGTAGCGAGTGGGCATCAGGTGGTTGTAGTTGATGGTCTTGATGAAGGGCTTGATGCGGCTACGCTTCTCAACCTTCTTCTTGCCCATGCGGCGGGTCACCTTCAGAGGGTAGCGCTCGATGCCGGCGACGAGGGCATAGGGGAACGGGTGCGTCTTGGAGCCGGTGTCGTTGGGCTGGATGATGACGACCTATTGTTGCGGAGAAAAAAAAGGCCATGTCAGCGAATTTGTCCGTCATTGCACCAGTCCGATATCCAGCGAAGTTCGCATCATTGCCCGCGCCTGTCTTCCAACTTCCTCTTCGTAGCGATGCCGATATCCCCAGCCATCTCAATCAAACAGTGCCAATTTCACACTTCCATCTCTAGGTGCGGTAATTGAGGAGAGAGCATGCGGTCGTACCTTCTTACCGGCATAACGGCCTCGGGTGATGATGGCCACACGGCCCACTTTCATGACTGTTTCATTGCTGTCAGCTTGCTTGGAAGAAGAATTTAAACATTGGCAGGGAACACTGACACTTCATGGCGAAAGTCCCGGTGAGCGGCAGCGAGGTCGACGGGCAGTTGTTGTCGAAGTAGATCGGTCGTGCAAGTGAAGGTTCTCCGCGCTCGACTTCTTTTTTCGCTTGTGAGTAGTGGACGCAGGGCTCAGGGCAAGAGGATTTGTGTTCTCCCACCTGATTGGCCCGCTTAACGATCGGGCGTAATGGCTGGCGCCAACCCCTTTTCGGAAAGTTTCTCCATGAGGAAACCAGCTAGCGCCGGCGCTAGTCTTATCGGAAGCCGCGTCCGAGCGCCTGATAGTGACGCAACCCGCCTTCCAAGGTTGTTTGTTTACGGTTGCTCCGCTGCTCCTCCGTTGCTACGAGGCAGGAGCTCGATCGATGTCTATCACCATGGAACCACAGGAGCTCTCTATGGAGACGGATGAGCTGGCATGTCACCGCCCCCCACTAGCTACCAAACTTCTTGACTGGTCGCGCCCCATTGTTTTTGTTATATCTGTTGATTCTTACTAGTTCCCCCTTCCAGCTTCATGATCTGGATCATTGTCACGATTTCATCTTCTCTCGATTAACGACTTCGGTTTACGACCTCTATTCACGACGCTGGCGCTTTGTGGTTTTCGTTTTTCTTTTTCTCTTTTTTTCTGTTGTTTTGTCTTACTTTGTCATGTTCATTATTTTCTCCTTATAGGAACTACTGTCAATCTTACATTCCTCCCCGCATTCCAACGCCTGCACAAACTCAATCGTATCATCACAGCGCAGAAAAGATCGCCATCATGCCGTCCAACGAGCGCGACGGCTCCCGTGACAGGGGCTTACTTGTCAAAGGTCACCAACATTCGCACTCAGAAAGTACTCGATCCGTGCCCATGTATGTCAACTGCGCAATAACATTTACATAACGGCCTTATACCCGCGATTGATATGGGACTGACATCAATGCTTGGAAAACGTAGGTGGGACAGTTCAGATCCCGACAGGGCTCCCCCTCCTCTTCCAATGAACCCGAGTACAGGCAGTCCCAAGACGAGATCCAACGCAGCTCCCAGCATCCAGGCCGCCGCGGCGAGCCTAACGGAGAAAATGCGCGAGAATGCCCCCAGCCCCTACACCACAAACCCTATGCCTTTGAAATCGTCGCCAGAGAAGTCCCTGATAAAAGGGCAATACCATAAACGCATGCAGTCCCTGCAAGATACGCGCTCGGAATTCCGCAACTACCTCGAGAGCCGGTCCACGGAGCGGCCATCGCGGGCATCTCTCTTCGAAACAGGAGACAAGTCGCGCGACAAGAGTCCCACGAGATCGGGGACTTCGGCTACTCGTGATTCAGAACGAGAGTCGCCGCAGTACCACGTTTCAAGCCGCTATCTTTCAAAGCCGATCTTAGGCGAGAATACGCCACCATCTGCCACAATGCTGGCCCTGCAGAATATGCAGGTCCCAGGAGAAAACGAGCAGAAGCCGTCGAATGTCTCTAATCCTCCCGTTCCTCCTTCGAACAATCTGACCTTGGACGCCTTGTCAGCGCAGATCCTTAGTCTCACTAGTATTGCGACGAACTTGCAGAAGGAGATGGCTCAGTTGAGTCGGCGAAGCAAGGATAATGCCACAGACCTGCTTAGCCTTAAGGCTGCTACAAACGCTCGGGACGAGGATATCCGAAGAAGCATCCGTGAGTTAGCCTCCAACATCTCGTCCAAGTTACTGGACCCAGAAGCAGTGGGCACAAAGTCAGCACCCTACGGTTCCGCCAGTCCCGGATATGTGGTTGACAGCAAACCGTACGACAGTTCTCCAAGTTCCAGAAAGTCGTATATACCTCGCGTGGCGAGCCCCGGGGCCTATGCGTTGGAAAGAGATCTGTGTGTCTCTCCTGCCCCTATAAGCGATGGTTCTGCCAGCATCGCCTTGCTAGAGAAGGTCCTGCGTGAAATGGCTACTAAGGAAGCCCAAGACAAGCTGCTGGAGCTTGTCGATGAGGTCAAGAGGAGGCCTGCAAAAGATGGGGCTGATAAGGACGCCGACAAGAATATCACTAAGATGCTTGAGGAGATTCTCAACTTGGTCAAAGAGAACCCACCGAATCGAGCATTGGTCCGCTCAGGTACCAGCGGGGGCAGTGAAAAGGCTCAGGGCACAGATTCTGGGCATGCTGAGACCCAGTCCCGGGCTATCCCCCCCGCCCATGACTCGCAGACTGCCGATGACCATGCTATCCAGAAACGAGTGGCGACAGAGGACGTGGTTGAGCTCCTTAAGAGAGTAAAGAACAGCGTAGCCGAAGGAGGTGGCCTAACGAATGAAGTCAAGGCCCTGGTTCGGGAATTACGCGGCGAAGTATTGGGCATGGGAAGAGAAATTGCTCGGAAACTGGACGAAGCATCTGCTTCCCAGGCTGGTGAAGAGACTCGACGTGCTCCAGGAAAGGAGGAAATTGCGGCAATAGTGCAAACAGGTCTGGCGGAGCTGAAAGAGCAGATGGCGTATATGATCCGGGAATATCAGCGGGAATTGTCGACATCGGTGTCCCGTGGTGTTGCTGACAGCGCCGAAATTTATACAGCCGTGAAGACTGCCATGGCAGAATTCCCTCCACCTCAATTCCCACCCGCGTCTTCTTCAGTGGGTATGGAGAAGGAGGATATTCTGGAAGCTGTGAGGGAGGCTTGGGAAACTTACAAGCCAGAGATCGAACTGCAGAACTTTGGCCTCGAACGAGAGGAGATCCTTGAATGTTTGAGCGAGGGCTTGAAAGCGTACCAGCCAAAGCATGAGCCCGGTGTCACCTATGATCAAGTTCTCGCAGCGGTTCAAGCAGGGTTGAAAAACTTTGTGCCACCTCCCATACCACCTCAGCCAACCATCACAAGAGATGAGATCATCGCCGCAGTCAAAGAATGTCTTGAAAGTTTCGAGTTGTCGGTGCCCGAGCCCAGTGTTACGAAAGAGGAGATCTTTGCTGCTGTTTCACAAGCCCTCGCTGGCCAGAATGCTCTGACAAGAGCAGATCCTGATCCAGGAATCACACGCGATGATGTCCTCAATGCCGTGACAGAGGGTCTAGCTGCTCATCATGCTGCTGCCAAAGAAATGGGCGAATCCAACGTCACCAAAGAAGACGTCATCGTTGCCGTCAACGAAGCACTGGCAACTCAACAAAGCAGTACACGAGAACCCGAATCGAACCTAACGCGAGAGGATGTGCTCAATGCGATATCAGAGGGTTTGGCTAGTCAAACCGAAATGATTAGGGAGATTGAGCTGAATAAAGAGGACCTCATGGAAGCGATCACATCCGGGTTCCATGAAGCAACCAACTCCACGAAGTTTAATGTCGGGGAACAAGTTCTCCAGCGTCTTGACGAACTGGTGCAGGGTATCAAAGATGAATTCAAGCAATACTCTGCTGCCAACGGCCGGGATACCGAACAAGTTCTCGACGCGCTCAAAGATGGCCTTGAGGGCCTGCGCAGTGAGGTTGAATCTTACGTCGATAGGGCTGCCGATGTTACGGGCAAAGACGAGATTATCGACACAGTCAAAGAGGGCTTCAGACTCCTGCAAGCGGATATGGAGAGGACTATTAATGAGGCTGCTGCTGGGTCTGCAGGACGCGGCAACCCTGACACCCCTGAGCTCCTCGACGCTATGGAAAAGGAGTTCGAGCATCTTCGACAGACGCTCAGCTCTCTCCTTATCCGTAGCAGCGTGTCAAGCGAGAAGGATGAAATTCTTGATGCCATTCATGATCTCAGTGAACGTCAGCGCCCTGGAACCGATACTTCCGAGGTCGTGAAGACGGTTAAAGAGGAGTTCGAGAACCTCCGCGAAACAATCGGCATGAGTCTCGTCAAGTCAGGGCCTTCAGAGAAGGATGAAATAATAGCTGCTCTCCGAGAGAGCTTTGAAATACTACAAGCTGAAACCATGCAGCGAAGAGAGGAAAGCATGCTATCGAGCACGACAGAGCTACTGGATGCATTCAACGATGGTGTCGATGCCATCCGTGGAGACTTAGAAAAGGTTCTGAACAAGCCCGCCGACGACAGCAGTGGTGAGATTTTGGAGACGCTTAGGGAAGGACTAGCTAGCATCAAGGTGGAGATGGAACTTCTCCGAGAGTCACAAAAGGAATTTGAGGAGACGACAACCAATCGTGGCAAAGAACTCATCCTAGCGAGTGAGACTGCCATTGGGAACGACATTGAAAGCCTCAAGGCTCTCATTACTCAGCTTCAAATTAAGGTTGAGGCTATAGAGTCCAATTCACAGGCCTCCCAACCTCCAGAGGATGCCTTGAGAAAAGAGCATCTCGACGAAGTCCTCGCTGCAGTGAGAGACGTTCACGGTTCTGTCGTTGAAGTTGGTGCCCGGGAGATGCCCCTGGACCCGACAGCTGCCAGGAAGGATGACATAGACGCCATTGAAACGCTTCTACGAAATACGAAGGCTAAGATCGATGAAATGAATTTCCCTGGGCCCGATGAAATCGCAAAGTCAGAACATATAATAGCCTTGGAGGCGCTTATTTCAGAAACAAAAGATACCCTCAACGAGCTGTCTAGCCGCATCGATGCAGAGGGACCTACCAAATCAGAGCTTGGAACTCTAGAAACTCTGCTAAAGGATGTGTGGGTTGCTGTCGATGACCTTAAAAACAGCGAGAAGTCCGCACAAGAAGATCCGGAGAGGGTGGTAAAGAGCGATCTCCAGACTGTGGAGGCCATGATTTTTGAGGTCAAAACACAGATCGAAGAGCTCAAACTCCCAGACGTGGAGACACTGCCTACGAAAGCCGAGATCCAGGAACTTGGCGGGCTTGTGGCTGAGTTCAAAGAAAAGGTCGAGACCGAAGCTGAACTAACTGCTCAAGCCTTCGAGGCACGGAAGGTCGAGCATGGCGGACTTGCGGAAAAGATTGATGAGGCTAAGGCCGTTGTTGGTGAACTGCGAGATGAGTTGAAGAGCAAGCTTGACGGGAGTCAAGAAGGGCTCTCGGAGTTGAAGTCTCTCATAGAAGGCCTAACCGCATCCGCCGAGACGTTCAGTACCGTTGAGAGTATCAAGGAGCTCAGCGAACTCATCAATCGGGAATTCGAGCGCGCTCGCGGGGAACAGGAAGCAGCGAAGCTCGAGACTGAGGAGCGAGATGCCGCTGCCTTGATAAAACAAGAAGAAAGCCGTGCTGGCATTGTGTGCGACCTAAGTGCCAAGATTGACGAGAGGATTGGAGAAATCCTAGCCAAATATGACGAACTGCAGGCAGCAGTCGATTCGAAATTTACGAAGGCTGAAGCACGGGATGCGGCCACAGTCGAACATCTGACAGCCACAAAGAGCATTGCTGAAGACATCAAGCTCGTTATTGGTGCTATGGGCGACAGTGTGACGGAAACTTGCGAGCGCATGAGTGATGACGCGAAGACGTTTTTCCACAAAGTTGATGAATCCTACAATAAGATGGAAGCGATGCACAATGAAATCAAAGAACAACAAGAGCAGTCCAAGGCAGAATTGGAGAAAGCGGCTGCAGTAGCAGACCGCGTGGAGAGGCAAATCCGTGAAGATCACCCTCAAATCCTCGGCGCTATCAAGGATATTCTTTTCCTCGTCGGTCAGCATTACGAGCACTCCCAGAGAACTACCGAACAAATAAAGTCAGATCTGTGCGCCATCCCTGCGGCCATTCCTTCTCTCCTTCCTGCCCTCCCTCCTCCCGAACCGGAAAAGTACGAGACA